GAAAGCTAATAAAGTAAATGTCAACTTTGGTTTTTCCTAAATCAAATCGGACTTTACCGGTTCAATCTGAGAAACCGGAATCTCGGGTTAGTTACTGTCGGTCATCATATCCCGGTTCCGGAAGCTCTAAACAGTCACACACACGTACGTGTAGAGAAAAAGGAAAGAGACACACGTGTCAAGTGTGACTCAGCACCGTCCGATGTGTCACTCTTTTCCACGATGGATATGCGTGCCAACTCATAACGAGCTTCTTTTGGAATTTTTGCATGTTGAAACTTTTTCCAATTTCAAACACAAAGCTTCGTCTCTTCCTTTTTACCAGAAACTTTTTTTTTTCTGAATTGATACAAGATTCAAAAAGAAGCCGAGCCAGAACCCTAAGGAAATCGATAGAGATAGTGTAATAAATTCGATATTTTTGGTGGAATTTAGGTTTTAATTAGTTGATTTTTGGAGTGTTATTCCGACTTAAAACCCTTGATCCCCTTTTATGACCCAGAAACCGGAAAGTTAGATATAGAGGTAGAAAAGTAGTAGAAATCTTAAAAAGTGAGAGAAAGTTGGAACATTTGGTGAATTAATTACCCATTTAGGCATTTGAGTCAGATCTTAAGAAAAAAGAAAGGAAAGGTAGGAGCTTTCGCTTACTCAGCGACGTTTCGCGAAGAAAGGTCAAATTTTTCTTGTGTGATTTGGCTTTGGAGATGAATGGGAGTAATGGGGAGGTGCGAATCGTTCACGAGGTTGCAATGGTGGTTCCTAAGAGGATTCGGGAAGAAGAAGAAGGAGATTGTGTTGAAGTTTTGGTGACTGAACTAAAGAAGAGAGGTATGGTTGTTGATAGAGTCGTCGGTCTCGCAGATGAGTTTCTAAAGGTCGGTCTTTTCATCTTTCTTTGCCTAATTTACCAGTAATCTGTGTATCACATAGGGTCTGTCTCTATATTGATTCTTTGCTGAGTTTTTTCCGTCAAATTTTATCGAAATTCTTGCATTTGTCATACTAAAATTAGTGATCTGAAAGTCGAGGCATGTTTCTGAATAGTGAATTGTTGAAGAAATAAAGAATTGTTTGATAAACTTGGTAACTTTTTTCAATGTTGTCTAGGATTCAACAGATTGGTGACCTGAAACAAAGTTTCAAGCGAAATTTCTTTCCTTATTTAACTCTAATTCTGTAGGAAAGTTTGTAGATTGTTTTGCTAAATTATGTATTTATTCAGGTAGGAGCTCCTTTGGAGACCTTGGGGAATGCAGCAGCCGAGCTTCATATACGTAAACCTACTTGTCTAGGTAAATACTGGTCCTTTGTATTCATAGCTTAAATTGATAAATGAATGTCTGTTAAGTAGCAGCATCCCAGATATCTCCTCGTTTTATGTTCACAAATTTGAATGTTTGATGGTTCTCGTTTCAGGAATTGATCTGCCCTTTGAGATGCAAGGGTCTGAGGCTTTCTTCCGGCAACCTGATGGGTCACTGTTCAGCTGGTTTGAACGTTTTCGGTGCTATCAACATCTTCTTTATGGCATTGTAAGTTCTGTCTCTTGGGAACTCCTCTTAATAGTTATGACGTATCCCTGATTACATGTTTTCGATTGCTTTAGTGTGTCGGTTTAGAGTGTTCTTGATTCATGACACAGCAAACGAACTCTTGAATACAGGTAAACTGTGATGGATACGACGTTACATTGAAAATCGACGGCAGAGAGTTTTGTTGGGCAGCAGGAGAATCATTAGTTCGAAGGTTGGAATCAGAGGGCGTCATTAAACAAATGTTTCCTCTTCATGGTAAACTATTTTATTATATCTGTTTGGTTACAACTTGTAACTTGCAAGCAGTCAAGACTCTGGAATGGTTTAAAATTCTCACTCAAAAACATTTTCTTGTAGATGAATTCAAAAGGAAAGAATTTCTCCAGACTTGGGCATTAAATTGGTGGAACTTCACAAACCAGCCAATTGATCAGATCTACTCTTACTTCGGTGCGAAGGTAGACACATAAAAATCATAACTTGCTTTACTTGTTGTAGCAGAAAACTTTTGGTATGAAACTCATAACCTAGAAAAATCGCAGATTGGAGTCTACTTTTCATTCTTGGGAATGTATACGCAGTGGTTGATATTACCAGCCTTGCTTGGGTTTATAGTGCAGATGGTTGACTTCGGGTAAGTTCTTAATTCTGGTACAAGCTTCTAAGTACATACTAATAAGACATGCCGGTGCATCCATCATGCCTTGTTTGCAATCTTTCTTTGGTCAGATCCGTGCAGTTTCTTGTTCTCCCAAGTTTCTTTGTCAGCACAATACTCTGGGCTGCCTTGTTTCTTCAGTTCTGGAAACGTAAAAACGCTGCCTTGTTAGCTAGGTAGGATTCCCCTACTCTGATTCATGTTTATCCAAAAGTTAGATTTATATTCTGTTAACTGATTTCAGCTTTTGCAACGGTTCTTTACCAACTGATTCTGTGTTCTTAGATGGCAGATAAATTATTCAGTTGGCCCCAGTCAAGGATATAGATTTCTCGGCATGGAATGGAGTTCCCTTCCGTTTCCAAAGGAGCTTGTAAAGAATATCGGAAATGAGAAATCAAAAGAGAAGGAAGCATATCAAAGATATGAATGGTTTGCTTATCGCAAGAGGTTTAGGAATGATGTTTTTGTTATCATGAGCATTATCTGCCTCCAACTTCCATTTGAACTGGCGTATGCTCATATTTATGAGATCATCACATCTGATATAATCAAGTGAGAGCTTACTCATTTTATGTTTACTAGCTTTACCAGTCCCATGTGTTAGCAATTTTGTTAGAACCATGACAATTTTTCTGTAATGGTTTCAGGTTTGTATTGACAGCTATCTACCTTCTAATCATTCAGTACCTCACTCGGTTGGGAGGCAAAGTATCTGTCAAGCTGATAAATCGAGAAATCAACGAGAGTGTGGAATATCGAGCTAACAGCTTAATTTACAAAGTAAGGACAGCATTGTTTACAGTCATTGAGTAGTCATTGTTCCTCTTTTCTAATCATTGCAATGGACTTCGGTATTCCAGGTTTTTGGGCTCTATTTTATGCAGACATACATCGGGATCTTCTACCACGTTCTTTTACACCGAAACTTCATGACACTTCGACAAGTATTGATCCAACGGTTAATCATCTCACAGGTAACAAGAAGATGCCGCTTCATTAGATGCTCTATGTTGGAAATGTTTTTTTTGTTAGATTCTTCGAAAATGTTAGACACCAAACTTTCTGCAGGTTTTCTGGACCTTGATGGATGGTTCTTTGCCTTATCTTAAGTATAGCTACAGAAAGTTCAGAGCAAGGTAAGCCTTTTATTTCATGCAATCTGTTTCAGAAATCTTGAGCAATATCAAAACTTCATTCTTTTCCAGGAAGAAGAAGAAAAATGAAGGTGGACCATCAACAGGAAAGATACAAATAGCCTCAAGAGTTGAGAAGGAATATTTCAAGCCAACATATTCAGCAAGCATTGGTGTAGAACTTGAAGATGGACTTTTTGATGGTACTAAACTTATGAAGTCTATGATTTTGTGTGGTTTCTGTT